AATCTCAATGTACGGGGAAGTGAAGTAAGGTAGAAATAGCCTAAGCAACTCTATCCTTTTGATATGTATCTTATTGTCTCAATAAATTTACTTGAACTTAATTAAAGTGAGGTATATCTATTATATAGACCCAATCCTCTTCTCGCATTGTTGTACCTGTTGCGTTGTAATTGACCTATTGTAACATTTGAATTTTTCGTCGATCTGGCCTTTTTTTGGATGGACTTGGCTTCCACAACTTTAAACGCATTCAAAATGTTGACTAGCTAGTTATCTCTATCTCTCCCTTTCGCCTTTCCGCCCACCCAAGCACTGAAACAAATGAGGTTAACTGCATTGTTTTCCTCAATTATCTTACTTTTTTTCAGTAAAACTCGTAATCACACGCCATTTTTCACATTAGACTCCATGAATGGCCATGAAAAATGGCCTAGGGATGTTTATAATTTTTAATATTTCTTAAATCATATAATTTAGGCCTACCCCGATAAGCTGTCTGTACAGTCTGTTCTGTAACCCAGACTGGCTACAAATTTGGGTGAGGCATTCTCCAATAGACAAACACTGTACATATAAAACATGATTGCATCTATTCCAAACTTTTTCTGTGAAACGTGTATGTACGTTTGTGTATATATATATGTGTGTGTCATATAGCTCAACTGCACCTGTCCGATGTTCCTTACATCGTGAATGTTTCAAGTTGATACAAAGAAATTTTACAAATATCAGGAAGATACCGTAATTTTTTATTAAGAAAAAAAATGTTGGTGAAAACAGTAATGTATTTCTTCGAGGAATACGTTTACAGTAATCTAAATATACTGGGAGTAGGAATCTAGCACTCATTGATACAGACTCAGCATAAAAGTATTTTTAACAAAAGCTTCAGAAAAATGCAGTCTTACTAGTGAAAGTAACAGTAGCTCACAGCAGTTCGTAGATCATAATAGTGTTATATATGGTAGCAGCAGCTCTATTATGAAATAATGATCCAACTTTCTCAGCAGGGGAGGACTTGGCAGGGAGGGGGAGGAGCGGATCCTACAGGAATCCACCTAACCCCAGGTGGTGACATTATTTCAACCAGTTAAACTGAATCTTCTTACTCCGCATGTTTATCAAATTAGAATATACTGTCGACAGTACAAGCAGCTCAGGGTTATACTAAATCAGGGCAAAGACCTAAGTACATAAAAGTAATTATTAAAAGACTCCAAACCGGGAGACTATGTATCAAGTACATAAAAAATTAACGGATTATTTATTATTAATTATTAAAAAAATGCATTTTCTTGTATTTAGTTTAGTTCAATTATTATGCACGTAATCTCGGATCTCCAAAAATATATAAATAACCTAATAACTAACCTAACCCAACCGAGCCTAATACACCCCAACCCAAGCTAATATACATACTAATTATAAATATGATGTACTGTATACACGGTTTTGACAATTAGAAGACGGGCTATGTCGAAGGGCCCGCGTACAAGTTGGCCATAACCTTCCCCTGGGGTGGAGAGGTGGTGCTCACATCCCCGGAGGACTCCACCACCTCACCAAACATGTGTGTGTGTGTGTGTGTGTGTGTCCATTTGCAGCAAGACACAGTAGTTTCCCACGAACATGCAACGTGTATATGGCCGCAAGGCTAAGTGTTCAACCTATTAAGGGAACGTCGGGGCACATCCGCCATTTGTCTGTCGCGGCCCCCAAATCAACAACAAACATTTCTTTACATTAGAGCAAGAATATGCTTTCACTCACGTTATGATGGCAGTGTGTGTGTCCCCGTCTGTTCCTCGGTGGCCACAGTTGTCGTCTGGTACGAGGCGGGTCCCCAGAACACAACACCAACACACTGACAAGTGACAACTTGGGGCGTCCACACGATGGTGGCCACAGATTACGTCACCTGAACGCTTATGGCCACAAGTTACCCCCTCTTTTTTTTTTTTTTTTTTTTGAGATGCACATATACAAGAGTTGTTACATTCTTGTACAGCCACTAGTACGCATAGCGTTTCGGGCAGGTCCCTGGAATACGATCCCCTGCCGCGAAGAATCGTTTTTTCATCCAAGTACACATTTTACTGTTGCGTTAAACAGAGGCTACAGTTAAGGAATTGCGCCCAGTAAATCCTCCCCGGCCAGGATACGAACCCATGACATAGCGCTCGCGGAACGCCAGGCGAGTGTCTTACCACTACACCACGGAGACTGTAAAGACTCTTCATTTTCTTTGATTTGTCACATTTAGGGAACTTAAATATTATTTAAATATAAATATTTATATTTACTTTCCTCGACGAGGAAAGGAAGTCGGCGGCTTGTCAAAGGTCCCTCCATTTATCCAGATGATCTTTTCCAGCTGTATTTTAAACCCCAGCAGTTTTCGCGCTTACGGCTGCGGCGGGTAGGCGGTTCCATGAGATTATGTATAGCCCTATGGGTAGAAAAGCATCTCGTTTTCCGTTCTACATTGTGTCTTGAGCTTGAAACAGTACTTAACTAATTGTGCTTACCTAATTGTGCTTGCGGGGGTAGAGTTCTGGCTCTTTGGTCCCGCCTCTTAACTGTCAATCAACTAATGTACAGGTTCCTGACCCTACTGGGCTCTATCATATCTACACTTCCTGCCAAATATTCAACCCGGTATGCTTTAATTTTAATTTGATATTCGCCCTTTAATTTGAACATTATAACCTAAGATGGAATACAATTCTAAAAACCCATTAATAATGGTCCAGGACGATGACTTTCTAGATTCTTCCGAGGAAATTTATCATAAAATGAGCAGCCTGTCCTCACGCAGATCTGCTCAAGGGAATGTATTGGGAACGACTTCATAATTAGTGTCAATATCTACTCACTATCCAAGGCTAGACTAAGCTAGGCAATAATATGAAATATGGAATTCAAAAACTATTTGTGCCTGACATTTTCATTTATAGAAAACCAAATTCTTAAAAAAGTTTCAGCACTTTTATATTTTAAATTAATGATCTATAATACAACAATGTTATAACTTAAGAATAATCTGTTTACAACAAAGGTTTGTTTGCCAGTTTACATGTAGACTATTACTGGAACTGTAATATGCTTTTAGATCATCACAAATATCTAGATAACTATCAAGGTGGTTTGAAAGGGGGATGTGGTGTATTATGGCAATGAATTTGCAGTGAGGATGTACTCAAAATGAGAGAACTGCAAAATACCTTCCAGTAGCAGCAAATGGGCCCATGCATGGTAGACCTATGACATGCGAACAATGCTGGTATGCACTGCCCTCCCTTGATTCTCTAAACCCCACCCACAGTAAATACATAAAGGATCATTAATATGTGAATAGTTGGTAATGTTACCTGAACATATCACGGGGGCTGAAATATGCAAGGAAGTTGTAAATGAATTGTCTAATCGACAGGCTGATCTTTAAAAAATAGTTGCTGTGACAACTAATGGTGCATCCCAGCATGATTGGTGACAGAGCATGTTTTGCAAATTATATTGGGCATCCACTGAAAGGCTTTCATTGTAATGTAATAACAAGGAGGCCTTGTGTGCAAAAGTTGGCCTTAAGAAACTTGAAGTGATAAACTGTAACAGTTAATATATTTATACTCATGCTCTGAAGAAAACAAAAATTATGATTTCGGAATTAACTGAGCGAGGTGAATTCAGTGTACACAAGACGACTCGTGTTCATCAAAGTTCATTTGCTTAGTAGAGGAAATAAAGGTTTCTGTTTATTCTGTGCTCTAACAAATCAAATATAGAAGCCAATAGGTATGCAGGAGCTGGGCTATCTAGTGGTGGCAACGAGTTCTATCGAGTTTCGAGCTAGTTTGAGTGAATCTAGTTACCTCTGAATTGTTTGCATTGTTGTTTTGTAGTTATAAAGCTGCATTTTCTGTGAATCCTTCAACCGTTTCTTCAGCTTCGCCGACTTTCTGGATGCTTTCCCAATAGGGGTAGCAGATGTCACTTGCGCTTTGCACCTGTGAGAGGAAAGCCAGTTTCTGGCTCTGGTCCCTAGTAAGCTAAGTGAACTCTCACCCGACTGATGTTTCTGTTTAGCACGGAGCAATCTTGGCAAGATAGCTTTACGAAGCCACCTGGAATCTACCAGAAAGAGGCATTTCATGACACTCAACTAAGGGTTCTTGGCTTGTCCTACTTTGAACATTTATCAGCTAATCACCATACAACCAGATCCCTAATTATTACCAAGTGTACAAGACTAACAGTAACCAGATGTATAATTAACACTGAAGTACAAGAGTGATGACTATTAACACTGTATATGTTAGCAAATTATGAACTGTATTTTGCCCATCTTGGCCATTTAACCAACAGTAGTCAAGGCATAAGTCAATGTGTTTTATGCAATAAACAATCAGTTGCTACATAATGTGAACAATAATACCAATGAGGCATTCACTGTACAGAACTATCATCCACCAGCACATGGCAAAGCTTTTATGCATTTCAATTCCCCAACTTCAACAGACCTGAAAATTGAGAAAATTAAGTTTTCATACCAGTGCAAATTACTGCCAATTGTTGGAAAACTTTTTATGATACTGTATATCTTAGTACTGTATTTTAAAAGAATCTAATTTTAGCCAGTACAGTACAGTATATGACTGTCAGAGCTCAAATGTTTTCTGTATCTATAAATCACTGTACATAGGCCTTTATGTACCCTTAATTTCTTTCCACATCATACACTCCAACACAGATCGTAGGATGGATGAATGGATTTTTTATCATGCGACACACAGGAATCTTTGGCTATTTACCTCTAGTAAACATTTGCCCTGAATCTTATAAGCAGTTTCATCCCTAAAATACAGAAGAAATAACAAGCATAAAATATTACAGGTCTGAGATGAGCAACAAATAAGAGTTACCATTACTAATGTAACGAGTAAAATGATGCTTCCACCGTTACCTTTTTTTTTTTTAGTTAAAGCATTAAAATCTGAAAATAATTGCAAAACCTTTATTTTCAAATGTCAGACATGCCAAAATAAAACGTCTATAAAAATCCCTGCACAATATTTATTAATCATGATAACCTCTTCAGTAAGGATTCATCAGTGCAGATGGCTTTTGCATTCCTATGTACAAATATACAAGAAAATTAGTCACAGAAAATTTGCTAAGGTCTTGATATGTACACAGCCTAATTTTTTCAGACTAGATTTCATGATACAACTCGTAGACCACCTGAATGATCTGTGCGTGCTGGTGTTGTGCCAAATATTCAGAGCTGCTGCAACATTTCACATTAAATGCAGTGGGAATTATCAAATTAAAATGATGGCTTTCAACTTGCCTGGATACAAAAATATAGCAAATTTATTCCCAGTTAAAGCAACAACTATTAAATTATACTCATGTCTTGCCATTTCTATCATGTTTTAACACTACCATGAAGCAAACCTGCTTCAGTTTGTAAGTAAGTGCAATAAGTCAATTGCACTTACAAATGTTAGGAGAGGTGAGGAAGACGAGTTAGTACACAATTTGTTAAAAGCAATGACTATTAAGATTTAAGTATTAGATAATAAATATACATGTGATAACACACTATCTTAAAATAAACCGCTCTAATTAATCTATCCATTATTTAGCATAGCATAAACCAGATCATTAAACAACAACTTTGCATCACTGCTACTCAGAATTAAAGTTCAGACCACTACAATGTGTACAGTACATAACTATACTGTACTCTGCCATCACAAAATAAAAATGCACAATTCAGTTTTAACATTCGGTTGAAGATTTATGAACCTCCAGGGCCTACTGTACCAGTTATAATATGACTGAATGACTAATTACAATACACACAGAAATCACAGTAACGTGATGTATCAATAAGAAAATCATGTGTAATTTACTAATTACATTCATAACTTCTATACTTTCCTAAGGGTAACGTTCGTCAAATGTCGAGAAATTTATTTCGGTCCCAACAAATGAAAACCTCAAGATTAAAATTTTGCAAGTTTTCTGAAGAACTGTAGAATACTGTATTAATTAATCTAGTATTATATTATATTATACAGCATATGTTATACAGCATGTTATACTTCATATACATATAATACAATAAATAAAGGTTTCAAATGAAAGCAATTTTAAGCAATAAATTGTACATATAAATAGTCCCAAGATTTAAAAAGAAACACTAACCATTTATCACAATTACCAAGAGATCCATGTAAAATAGCTACATAATTATTGTACCAAAAGCGAGTCCTTACAGACTCCTCCATACCTGACAAAGAAAGCAAAACTGCTCAAATTAACAACCACCAATATCTGATCAACCTTTTTCCCCTACAAAACAATCCACTGGATGCCAGTTCCCTAAAATAAAAAAGATAAAAACAAATCTCAAATTTCATTTTCCTCAAAGTTGAGACCGACTCATTGTTTATCTCTATACTTTAAAAAGAGTGAGAAATCCAAGGCAACAATTCTTCTAAAACAAAATAAAGATAAACTAAGTAAGCCGGGCAAGATGATTTTTTGACTAACCTTGTCTACTAGATTCAAACTTTAAATTCCACCACCTTTAGCAGCAGAATCACCCAGCACATATTTTTTGTACATGAGATTCATCTGTTCAAGGAATATGAATGTGAGGACTGTATGAGGGCCAAGGCGCATGTAATATGGCGTGAAACCCTTCCACAATGCGAAGATCCCTTCATTCCGTATCACCTTGTACAGGACATCCAGTGCACTTTTGTATTCCGGTTTACCATCAATTATTTTCATATTCTGAATTCTGAAAGGAAAAAAATTACCTTATCACAACATTAAGTAAAATTAAACAAATCTGAATAGAAAATTATACTAGTTTGAGAATGTTATGGACACGTACTGTACAGTCAACCCTCACACTGTGTGTGACATACCTACACTATTGTACAGTAAAATCAAACAGATCTAATTCTATTGGTGCAAATCAACACTTATATTGAACATTCAATTACTCAATTGAATGTTTTGTACTTAACTTGCCAAAACTTTGTCAAGTTAGTACAGTATACAGTATTTTCTGGCAGTAATAAACTAATTCTATCTTTTACTTTATTTTCAAATTGCTGGAAATGACTGAAGGAACAAAACTATAGTACAGTGCTCCCTCCAAAATCCAAACCGCCATGTGGAGCATTTCCACTGTTAGTATTGTACACAATTAATCAATTCATTTTCATTTGGCCGAAAATGATATACAAAAGTCAGATTTTAGTATCATCCCCCAATATATCTACAGGAAAGCAACATCTGCACATGAGGATGTGTGATAATTATTACTTAAAAACACTTATTTAATATATTTAAGTATTAAAATATTTAATGTCTATCAATATCAGTGCAATTTTCTGATCATAAAAATTAAATATATAAACAGCACTACTTAGAAGCATACATGTATTATACTTAGTACACGCATGTTAATTTTAACATAAAAAACATTTGTCTGTAGAATTACAAGTTATTTATACAATAGAAATCACCATTTCTAGACACTGTACAGTATTTTCACAGCAACCATTACATTGTGTGATTGCTCATCATTCAACTAAATGAAATAACCGCTGCATTATGTAGGAATGCGGAGGAATTTCTGATGGAGGAGAAAGACAGTTGCACAGCACGTTCCGCGGCGCAGCGCGCGGAGCGCCGTGGGGGCCTATATAAAGAAGAGAGGAGAAGTCATGCGTTCTCTCTTGCTCCGGTCACGCTCCGCTTCACAGGTCAAAAGAAAAATTTTTCGCCACAAACGCTACAAACACGCTTCGCTTCGCAAGAAAAAGGAATAACTTAGGACTCTTGTGTTCTTGGGACTTCTAGAAGCTATGGAAACTACGATTGCTACCTCGATCGCAGCCCCCACCCTGGTTGAGTTTAACTCCGGGGGCCCTTCAACCTCACATGCTGAAAAGCTAGGGTCGGTCTACAGTACTCAACTTTCACCAAGGTAAAGTGATATCTTATGTTCTAAATGAAAAGCTAGGTTCCTCCCAAGTGTCGGCGTGTGCCCAGCGCTGTTCCCCACGCGGCCTGAAGACGTTCCAGCTAGGTCATGCCTAGGCAGGGCATTTTAGGCTGCCCCAGCCCTATTGTACGACGATTAATACGGAATTCTTATACAGACTTGCCCTAGCCACTAGCTTGCCAGATTTATAGTCTGCCGGTTAAGCCCGGGAATTTTATATTTATTCAGTATCATCAATGCTAGTTTGCCGGAATTTTGTCCGCCGGTTAAGCCCGGATCCTTTTATGTGGCTCCTTGCTGTGGATTGCTAGTCATATCGTCTGCCGGTTAGGCCAAATAATTTTATGCAGCCTACACTGTGGCTGGGTCGCCGAACTTCTGTCGGCAGGTTGAGCCCAACAAATTTTTTTTAAGAGGCAAGCCTCGTGTTGGAGTGCCAGACCTTTTGTCTGCCGGTTAAGCCCGGAAATTCTATACAGACATTCTTGTTGCCAGAATGCCAGACATATTGTCCGCCTTTTAAGCCCAGGTTTTTTCAGCAGACGCCCTCGCGTTGGGAGGGCCAGAAATATTGTCTACTGGTTAGGCATAAAAATTTTAATGCAGCCTCCTTCGCCGCTGGAATTTTAGACTATTGTCTGCCGGTTAAGCCCGGAATTTTCTATGCAGCCTCTTTCGCCGCATGAATTGTCCATGCTGCGTGTTTGCCAGACCTTGGTCTGACGGTTAAGCCAAACAAAAAATTTTAAATTTTATACGTTGTTCACCTAGCTACGGGATTGCCGTCCTTGGCCTGCCGGCTATGCCCAAGTAACAAAAAATTTCTGAAGTACCCTAGTGGAGATCTTCGCCATAGTCCCGGTTACCAACATTATATTCTAGCTACTATGGAATTCTCACTGGACAGACGAAAAGGTCCCATTATCACCACTCAGGAACTAATTTTCCCTTTGAAATCCATGAGGCAAAAATTTTCATTTATCAGGGAATTCACTCCGACTGCTGTCGTTACAGCTGATCAACAATCAGGAAAAAGGTCACAAGGCTGTTAAACGCACCACGAATAAGGAGTACAACATAAGATGGAATCCGATGTTTGGCCCCCTTTTTTAAATTTTTCTTATTTCTCTTTTCATTCTTACATTCTGGAGTTCTCGCCTTCCAGGCACAAGCAGGTCACAGTCTGGTTCTTAACATCCTACGGGGTCAGAGATTAGGTTTTAATTCCCAGCAATACGATTAGAAGATGTGTTTTACGCACTAAGAGGTCATTCTTTAATACTTTATTATACATAATTTTCACTCCACGTTCATAAATAAAACTTTATTCGCAAAGGAAAAATAAGGTTATTTGTCGGACATCAACTGAGGACAACCGGTTAAGCACGCACTAAGAGGTTATTCTTTAATACATCATCATACATAATTTTCACTACGCATTATTAATAAAACTTTATTCGCAAAGGTAAAATAAGGTTATTTGTCGGACATCATCGGAGGACAACACATGATTCGAGGTAATAGATTCCCTTCATATTGTCTGCAGTGGCCTCTATTATTATTGGGCTGTTTTTGTCTCGGTCATTACACTTATAAACCTCTATTAATACGCTACATTAAAAAAAAAGTCTGTACTACTAGAACTTATAAATCTTATAAAATGTTCGTCTCTCTACAGTCAAACAGTTGGTCACAGTTACGATTTTCTCCTACAAGATTGTGTGTATCATGTGATACTATGTGTTCCCCTATACTTTTCCTCCTCGTCACTAAAATAACTTATCTAGAGTCTTAATTCGGTACTAAATAATTAAGCTGGTTAGTTTTCCCAGTTCGTGCGATTCATCTAGGGGGGAATTCATTAATCCTTCAACAGTCCTCGTTAAATTAGGTGCGCGAGATTCTAGTCACGTGCTAATAGGATTACAGTTAGGGTTAAGCCTTTCTTAATTTTTAAGACCTTCAGTCAAGCGGATTATCCTCTTTTAATTCTTATTATTTCCCCCCAAAGACTCATTATCTCCTTAACATAGTACAGTGGAACCTCTATTAACGAGTTTAATCCGTTCTGGCACCGAGCTCGTAACCTGGAAAACTCGTCTTTGGAAACAAATTTCCCCATTTAAAATAAAGGAAATAAATTTAATCCGTTCCACTCCCAAAAACATCCATACTTGTATGAGTTTTTTTATGTAAATATAATATTGCACATGTAAATATAAATGTTTTGTTGTAGTGTTTTAATATTTACTTTACCTTATGAAGAGTAGTTGCTGGCTTGAGGGAGACGATGGGGAGGTGGGAAGGATGAGAGGGGTTATGGTGTGGAAGGAGAATCCACCTCTGAGTCAGGCAGACTCTCTCTTCTTGGGAATTTCACCCAAATTTCATTTCAAATGTCACACAAGGATGCGTTAGACCAGCACCAAATAAAAAACTACATTGATTACACTCGTTGTGTCAACAATATAATAGTCTTACCACGAAGATACAATACAATGCCGTTTTCTCAAATAGGCAATGTGGTTATTAAAGAAAACGTAAATTTCATGGCAAACATGTATACAATCCAAAAGTCGATCGGATAAGAATTGGATTTTATAGAAATATTTGCTCAAATGACGCTTGAGCGCGGTGTTTAGGTGCATTCAAGAGAAAAAAAGTGTGTTACGTTCAAGCGACATATACCTGCGAAAGTGATAACACTTTCATAAAGTGTTATCACAAAGTGATAAATTAATTAAACATTTTCACACACCGGGTTGTCACTGCTTTATCAGGGCAGCTTTTCCAAGAATGCGTTCACCTTTTCAAACATTCCAAACACTTCCCTGATCTCAGTGGAAGAGGCAGCATCCTCCCTTACCTCCTCATTCCCTTACTAATGGTGTAAATTGTTGATGAGGACCTGCCATACTTCCTTGTGAGATCAATCACACAGACACCACACTCATGCTTCGCTATAATTTCCTTCTTTAAATCCACAATAATTGTGTCTTTCTTCCTCTTGACAACACTATCTTTAGCAAGCAGCTTCTTTGGAGACATCGTGTGTTACAAATTGTAGTCGCAAAACCACTAAAAACCCAAAGAAAAGCTCAAATAAATCCAGAGGGATGCTTGTCGTGTGAGATACAACAACAACACTGGCGTCGGAGGCGTCCGAGAATTTGCGAGAACCCGCGAGACGCTAGGAAGCGCTATGTGGTTTCACTCGTTAATAGAGGCGAGCTCGTCAATAGAGACAAATTTGCTGCGAGTGGCTTGCTCGTTACTGGAAAAACTCGTTAATAGAGCCACTCGTTAATAGAGGTTCCACTGTATTTATCAACAGTTCATTTTCTTTTTCCTCCTTGAAGGGTAGTCCACATCTGTTTTCATGTCCGGTTTATTTTATTCTTTATTTGATGCCTCCCTGTAGGTAATCTCAGTAGACGCACACATTCTCCACTTATTCAGCCGCCCTCGCTATTGGAAAACTTGACCCAGAATTATTCTATCTGCCGCCCTAGCTATTGGATTGCCAGACCTCATGTCTGCCGGTTAAAGCCCGGAATTTATTGCAGACTCCCCCGCTGCTGGAGTGCCAGACCTTTTTGTCTGACGGTTAAGCCCGGAATTATTATGCGGCCGCCTCGCTGCTGGATTGCCAGACTTTTTGTCCGACGGTTAAGCCCGAAAATTATTTTATGAAGCCTCAATGGCTGCTGGTTTGCCCTGGCCGTGGATTGACCCTGGACGCTGGCTGTACCAGTTTGACCGCTGGTGTAGCAGGAAGTCCA